CCAACACATCACACACTGAATTGAGCTTATTCTCATAAACCGATCTCTGTACAATCAACTCTTTTTTCACTATCGTAGGCCATTTCTCCTGTGCAGCGTCAGAGACAAACATTGGCTTGTAGATAGAAGTATCAGGACTTTCTGGGATTTCAATAGGAACAGTTGGTCCATTGTAATTGTTAAACACAATAATCCATACTATTAACAAAAACAAAATCCTTCATTTTAACTTCCCACCCAAAATAGTTCTATACTATTAAGGTGTGTAATATTGTAAAATAGTGTAATACAATTCCTAATAGAATATATTGTTTCCTACTTTCCTATTCGTACTACAATTCTACATTAAAATTCTTAATATTGTTAAATAGTGTAATACAATTTCTAATAGAATATATTGTTTCTTACTTTCCCATTCGTACTACAATTCTACATTAAAATTCATATTCGTAATACAATACAACAATATTAAAATTGAAAAATTATAAAAATACTCCATATCATGTAACTACTAAGTGCATAATCTCAGTACCATAATCCAATCATAAATGGTAACCTAAGTACCATACTCCGAGTACAAAACAGAGTTAAACTTCAAGCATAATCTAAGTAACCTTAATCCAAGCATATTTGCTAAACTGAGTGCATAATCTCAGTACCATAATCCAAGCATATTTGCTAAACTGAGTACAAAAAAGAGTTAAACTTCAAGGCTAGTGACCTAATACATCATAAAGTTATCCAAAAAGTAGTCACTAAACTTCAACTACATCATATCCTATCCAAAATGCAGTCACAAAACTTCAATTAATCCAAAGTGATTGGATCTTTGTCATTCCCAAAGAATTTACTCTTGAATGTGGTCTTGGATCTTGTACGATAGTTGATCTTCATTGGATTTTTCTTCCTATGTGAATGTGGTCCAGCAGCAACATTTTCATTCAATGTTTCTCCAATTGGATTGACTGGTATTTGAACACTGCTACTTAGAGAAGCCCCTACAATACATAAGTTTCATATCAAGCTTAATGTCCTTGAATATCCCTACAATACATAAGTGTAAAATGATTATAACATACCTCCTTGAATTTCCTCTGCCTAAACTATGATTTGGTGCCATTGCTCATCCAAAATATGATCTGGAATCTCCCATTCATTATCTTCAACATCAGGTTGAGTAATTACTTCAGTTTCAAACACCTGGGCAGGCTGCATGCTGGGGAGACTGGATGGTGGATGTGGCTCATCTCCAACCTGGGCAGGCTGCATTGTGGCAATACTGGAAGGTAGTTGTTGGCTGCATTGTGGCAATACTGGAAGGTAGTTGTGGCTCAACTCCAACTTGGGCAGTCTGCATGGATGCTGGGTGTGGCTGAACTCCAACATGGGCAGAGTGCATTGATTTTCTTCTTTTTACCTGCAAAATTATTATGTTACTTACCAAATAAAATTGTTACTGACTCTAATCAAATTAAGAAAAATACATAACCTGATTGGAAGGCCTCCTTGTAGGGTATTTTGGACACTTTCTGTTGTTATGGCCTAATTCTTTGCATTTTGTGCAATGTAAAGCAACATGGCTCATTGACAAATGCATACCAATTTTACTTATCTCACCTACAGACTTCATCCTCAATTTTCTAGGCTTTCCAGGCTTTGCATTATACACTGGTGGCAATAGAGGTGGTCTACTTGTGGCAGGCCACTCTTCATAACCTGACATTGGCTTTATACATCCCTCATATGTCTTCAAGTATGTGGAAATTGAGTAGCAAGAATCCACATAATTCCAAATAAGTCCTTTCCCATATTTTATCCAGATTGCACATACTGCATGTTGGCAAGGGATCCCATTTAGGTCCCATTTCCTACAAGAACATGATTTTCTACCTAAATCCACAGTGTATTGCCCAGAATGTGTCCCTATGATCTCAAATAACATGGGAGCACACTGATAACCTATCAATCCACCAACTTGCATCTCAATTTCATCTATTTTTTTCACAATTGCTGGACAAATTCTTCCACTCCATTTAGCAGCCTTAGTTCTTGACTCAAATAACCTTACCATGATTTTTTTTCTAATGATCTCCAAACAATTAATCACAGGACTTTCCCTCGCTGTCAATATCATTGCATTAAATGATTCAGAAATGTTATTCACCAACATGTCACAATTCGCAGATCCAGTGAAGTGGGATCTATACCACTCTGATGGGTGCTTATCACCAAGCCAAGCAAATGCATTTTCATCCAAGTTTCTTAACTCTTGTAATGCAGTTATAAAGTTATTAACTGTAGTTGCCCTTGTTATTAAATTTGCTGTGAAACCAGCCACCCTCATGTTACAGTGCAAATGTCTTACACAATATCTATGCCTAACTGCTGGAAGTACAGTGTCAAAGGCTTGTACGAGACCCTTTTGCTTGTCTCACATTACTATGAAATCATATTATACCATGGGATTAATATGCAAATCCTTCTTTAAAAATTTTAGAAACCAAGTCCAGGAGTCCTTATTCTCACCTTCTACAATGGCATAGGCAATTGGGAATATACTATCATTTCCATCTATTCCAACTGCTGTCAACAATTGCTCTCCAGTTTTACACTTCAAGTGACACCCATCTAGACCAATTATCCTCCTACAGTGCTTAAACCCTTCTTTTGTAGCCTCCCAGCAGATATACATCCTCAGAAATCTTTGTTTTCCAGCCTCTTCCAAGTCACTCAACTTCACTTCACAAGTAAAATTGGGATTTGTTCTTTGTATTTCCATACAATAGCTCCAAATCCTATTGAAGTAGTCTTCTGCCTCACGTTTTATTTCAGCTTTAGTTTTTACTAATGCCCTCCATGCTTGCTTCTTACTTAGTACGCAATGGTCATTAATGCAAACCTTTTCTAAAGAAGCAATTTTTTTCCATTCCAAATGTCTTTGAATTTCTTGTTTCCATCTTTTAGCAACAATGGTAGAATTCACCATTGAATTCTTTTGAGTCCTGACACAACCATTATGTTTATCTTTTAACACAGTAATCCTCCAACACTTATCACCTTTATCACATCTTAGGGTAACCTGCCATGGACAACTCTCATGTTTGCACTTAACCACACATCTCACTTTGTCATTTTTTTCATATTTCATTTCCCTCCCCTCTTTGATTGCATAATTAGTTACAGCTTCTCTAAATTCCCCCTTATCTTTAAAGGTCAATCCAAGTGCAAATGTAGGACAATTACCTTGAAGGTATTTCAAGTACTTTTGCCTTTTAATCCCTCTGCTGCCTCACCATCACTGCCTACAAAGTTACCTTCATCAGAGTAGTTGATTTCATCACCAACTTGTTGAACATGTACATTACCTTGTTGGGGTTGGTCCTGCACAATAACTAATCCTCCATACTCTGCATTAACATCTATATTTTTCACAAACTCTTCATCATCATGTAGATCTACATTAATTAACTCCTTAGAATTGTAATCCTCATCACTGCCATCAGATTCTTCCCCATTTCCATCCCACTCATCTACATTGCCATCACAATCCTCTTCATTCTCATTTCCACTGCCATCACAGTAATATACATCTTCACCAACCCCTCCTTTTACCATCCAAATCTCTATTACCTTACTACAACATTGGTTAACTAAGTTCCAAACATCTAAGTCTTTCACCATTTCTTGCAGCCCCACTTCAGTCTGTATGAAGAATATGAAATTGCCATCAATGGCATATCATATTTCAACTACCTTCTCCTTTAAACATATTAACCCCCACTGATTTCTTCCATATCATTATATGAACTAACACTACCACCTATATATTCAGCAGGTAAAGATTGACTAATCCTTCTGTTCGCGTTACAGAGTTTTTATTTTTTATTTTATTTTATTTTACAGAGTGTTTTTTTTTTTAATGTAAAATATGTTTCTGTGCGTTGTGTTATGTATTTATGTGCATTATATTACGAAAATATGTAATCTGTACATGAAATTGATTAGTAATTGCATAACACAAAACACATTGTGTTTTATATTATGCAATTATGTGTCTATATGACATAAATTATTTACACAAACCAGATATGATAATAAGTAAAATAGAAAACATGTGTATGTATATCGTGTTATGCGTTTCTGTGTATCATGTTATGCATTTCTGTACATTAAGCGTAAGAATTCTGTGCATAGAATAAATTAAAATTTTGTGTTGAAACATGAAAAACATAAAATTATGGAATCTGTTAAAACTTACACATCAAACGACGTCGTTTTAATCCAAGGCCTACAATACTGTGTGGACCCTGGTCCACGATATAAATTGCCACGGGCTAAGCCTGTTTTGACCACTCCATTGCATTAGGCAAATTATATCGCGCACCGCGCATCAAAATGACATCGTTTTATTTAATGAAAAGAAACGGAATCCGTTTCGCGCTGTTCTGCAAAAAATAGCTTTGTTCTTCAGTTTCATTTTGTATATACTGCAGTTTCAGTTCAACACAACTACCGTTTCATTTCGATATAACTACAGTTTCATTCAATATTTATACACTCAAATATGTGAAAATGTTATTTAATTTTATTTTATATATACACTATAGTTTCATTAAAACACAACTACATGATCATTTGGATATAATTATAGCTTCATCGTACAATATACACTCAAATATGTAAAATGTTACGGAGTATTATTTTCATTTTATATATACTGTAGTTTCATTTCAGCACAACTACAGTATCATTTTGATATAACTGCAGTTTCATTTGATAATATAAAAATAATACGTGAGGCAGTGTTGGTTTAAATACACTGTAGTGTCACTCCGTTAACACCAATATCGCGTTGTTTTTTTACTTAAAAAAACCGACACTGTTTTAATGTGCTGTGCATAATCGCGGTCCACGATATAACGACTGATTGATTGCATCACTGTAGAGACTGGGCTCTTGAAATTTGTCTGGGCTTGGATCTATTCCAACAAGCCCAACAGCTTTTCACCGCCTAAATCTGTATTCGGCAAGCATTCCGTTCCTTCACCCGATTATCTGAAGTGATAATGGCGTCTACAATTACCCTTCCGGTGTTTGGTTCTTCTCCGACCCAGCGACAAGATCGCACCTTTACGCCGTCCGGCCCAGCGACGAGGACTTTCCTTCCTTACAAGGTATCCTTCTCCGGTGGCGCCCTGGACCCTGCTTTACCTGCTAGAAAGCTCCGGTCTTTAATAGGTTACTCTTCACATACCGAGCCTGTGAGTTATCATTACACCCTTGTATTCATTATCTTTCTGTCTGTTCTGGCTCTCATTTTCACATAAACAAGCATTATTAGAAAATTATATGTCCCTTCAGTTATATTCAAGAATTCCATTATCTTTCTGTTTGTTCTGTTCCTCATTTGCTTTTTACTAAAATAAAAAATAAAAATTACTACATAAAATGATGGGGATTTAACAATCCATTTCTAATGTGCCCCATATTACCTGTATAATTATACCCCGAATGCCCACAGTATAGACAATGCTTCTTAGTAGTTTGGTGTAGGGCTCGAAGTTAGGCAGGTTCGATTTACCATGGGGCTAGTTCGATTGACCTATCAGGGTTAATGAAAATCCTTGGGTGGGGACCTGAGGACTGACGGAGCGACTTGTGATTTACCTCCTCTAGCGGCTCTTGGGCAGGGGTTCTGGAGGCTTAGAATTAGTCTGGTATAAACTGGAAACCTAATGCATCAGGAAAAAAAAAAGCTTCATAGTGGAATGGAAATTTGGTGTATCAAGTACCTAGTGGAGCACTAAGATGGGATGGTCACTAATTCACTATAAGAAAGTGGTTAACTTTACATGGCTCTTACTTGTCTGAATGTTGTGTGCTAATACTATTCATACTGAGGCATTGAGAGGAAATTGTGGATTTGTGGTTGCTATGGATCACCTTTGCCGAAGTGTTGGTTGCTTAGATTCGCTTGGTTAGTTGGTCTGTGGTGCATTTGAGTTGTCTTTGGTGAAAATAGGATTGAAACCCAGTAATCAGGTGCTCCCTTTGGGCAGTTAACTTGGCTCTCTTGCGAGTCTACTTGTCTAGTTTGAGCAAAAGATCTGATTCTGAGTCTTTGGGCATCAATTTGCAATCACCAGACTATTTATATGTAGTGAATACTGAGCACTTTGGCTATAGGTTTGGATTATTTTGCCATAAATGGTATATTTCATATGTGGAAGCTTTATGATACTTGAGTGAGTTGCACGGGAAGTATTTGCTTCTGAAGAACTTCGAGTTGCCTGCTTTTCTATTCTGGGATTTAAGAGTGTTTGAGCTGTATAGCATTTCGATACTGGGACAAAGAGTAGTTGAGCTCATATCTTTTCTATACTGGAATTGATGAGTGGTTGAGCTGCATAGCTTTTCTATACTGGGAATGAAGAGTGATTTTGCTGCATAGCTTCTCTATATTGCTGACAAATATATCATATATAATTTGTCTTGGTTATGTGTACTTGTTTGCTCAACTTTTTACGAGGAAGAGCATTTCAAAGTGATTAAATCCTCAAAACAGTACAGAACTCCACCTGAGAGAGTTCTTCACCAATTCTTTTACTGTGTTTTTGTGGTGTTTCTTGTTATGCTAACCTTAGATGATTCTTGAAGTCAACATTTTCATGATTGATTCCAGAAGACGTAACGGCCCACTTAAGCACTGCTATAAGTGGTCTTGCTTTGTGGTATGAGGCAAAACGCCACATCAAATACAATTATCATTATTAATCTATTTTCTTTCTTTATCATTTATTGATTATACGTCTTTTCCCTTCTATAGCGGATGAATGACCTTAGGAAACCTCTTTGGACAATCAAGTATCCCACTTGGTTCTTTTCTTAGTTAAGTGCTTTAGCTGTGAAAAGAAGTTAAAACTATGCCCAAATTTAGAAGTGGCTCCAACTATTTTTGGGTCAAATGCAACATCACGAGATTATTTATTGGTTTCTTTCATCTTAATGTCAACTTTCTATTTGATATTTTCGTTTTTCCTGTTGATCCTCCTAAACTCCCCCGGAAAGACGACCACTTAACTCACTATTTGATCTGTAGGTAAGCCTACATTCCGGGAACTCCCATTTTCTTCGAAGGGTTTTGGTGCATTCCCTGACTCCTCAAGTCGAGAGTTCCAGTGAAACCAAATCTGAGACAACGTTCGAGCCAGAATATCTCGATCCACCTAAAGAGACTCTGAATATTGGGGTTTTAGAAGTCAAAACGTCGTCCAAGCCAGCTAGGACATCGAAGAAGGGAAGGAACCCCAAACTTCTCAACAGCCTTGCTTCTCAAAGGACCACAACGCTAGATTATTCGCAGATTCTCAAGTATCCCATCGTCACCGAGGCTGGAATGAAAAATATTCTACAGAAAAACACCCTGGTTTTTGCTGTCGACAAGCGTGCTGACAAGACAATCATAAAGGATTCTGCCTCGAAGATATTCAAGATTAAGATCAAGAAGGTAAACACGTCGATCCTGCCTGATGGAACCAAGAAAGCATTCCTTATATTGGCACCAGATCAAAGTGCAGTGGATGTGGCTAAAAGAATTAAAGTCATTTAGAACAAAAATGGGTTCTTTGCTTCTTCACCTGAGTTTGTATCAAAATGTTAATTCTTCCTTGCACACAAGTGAAATCTAGATCCTGATTGACTGCTCATCCTAGAAAAAAACCCTTGGTTTCCCTTGAATGATTTGGAGTTTTTTGTTATGATCTTTCCTGTAAATCTAAAATATGATCACACCCCAATCTTGAACCCGCCACTACTTGTCTTTCTGGTTGATGAGGAAAACTCGCAACCACTATATGAAGGTGTGCAATGGGTAAAACCCGCCTGTGACTCTAGTTGATAAAGAACCACAAGGTGGTAAACCAGCCTATGTTACCTATAGTTGCTGACGAGTTCAAACTAAGAATGTCATTAGACTGCTCTTGCTGGAAAAACAGTCTGCCCAACTTAGCCCACGGCTACTAGCAAAGTAAAACTATTAACTATTAATTTTTTTTTTATCCTGGTCAATCAGTTGGGCTATATCTCGGGACAATTGTACCATGCCTTAAACCTAATCCTGTGATGTAGCCTTGATGTTGAACACCTTAGGCACGAAACAATGCTCCAATACTACATGCACTTCCATTTCTTACTCCCAATTTATACTCTCTCTCACAAGTTTTTGATGTAGACACATTTTCTGTGACCCACATGATGAAAATAGCCAATCTTTGTTTGCCATGTCATGAAGTACAAGTGAGGGAGTAGAATTTGAGAGTACATATAATAGAACTCTTTCTATAAAGACAGTGATCTAAGAGGATTTAGCTTTCTGTCACTGTATACAGTATATCTTGAGTCACTCACGACAGGAATTCAAGAAGACATCAATGATCAATGAAGATGATAGGGGGAGAGTGTCCTAGTTTTAAAGAAGACCATTATCTTGAAATCCAAAGGTTTAAAGGAACCACACAGAGAAGGGCACTTGCAGATTGTGTTTGTGCGTTAGGTCGGGGAAAGTTGAAAAACTATTGCCACGAATGGAGTAGTAAATTGCAATGAAAGTGACAAGTGACCACACCTCCAGTCTCCTTACTGAAGTGACTACCTCCAAAGGCGTCATTCATGTCTTTTGCTTTTACGTACATACTTTAATCATCATCTACTTATTTTATTTTTCCACGTTATCTGATACTCTATTACTGTATGACTCATTCAAATTCAATTCATGTTGCACCGGCAGAGTTTAAAACTCTAAGACTAATTAAGCTAGATTCAATTTGTGTTATGCTTGCAGAGTTTGACTCTTACTTAGGAAAATGTATGGAAATGCATGGCGTACAGTTGTACACATACAAATATGTGAGAATAATCCGAACTTTTCGTTGGGGGAAAGCCTGGTTGGTCTAGAGCCGTATACTAATTCGGATTTTATTCAGGTTGCACTTGCAGAGTTTAAAGCCATGAGACTAATTCAAATTTAGTTCGTGTTACGCTTGCAGAGTTTGACTTTACTCAGAGAAGGCATGAGACACACATACAAATATGCGAGATTAATATGGATTATTAATTAGGGGAAGCGACTATGAGATTAGTTTGGATTTAGTTTGCGTCGAGTTTGTAGAGTTTCACTCTTACTCAAAAGGGTTGGGGTACACATACAAAATTGTGAATTAATTTGGATCCAAATTTAGACCACGTCACACATATAGGTCCGTTTACTAACAGAAAACTGTTCTCTATTTTCTGTTTTCTAATTTTCAGTTTTCATTCTCTGTTTTCTGTTTAGAAAACTTGTTTACTAATAGAAAACTGTTCTCTGTCTTCTGTTTTTTAATTTATCAAATTTCACCTAAAATTTAGTATAGATAATATTAATATTTTTTTGAGCTAATACTTAATTTTTTTTATTTTTTTTTTGGATATATTCATATGAATGACATGTATATGAATATATAACTTTTACTTTGAATTCTAATATATGTGAGATTTCAATATGCGATATCTGGACCGAACTTGTATTATGATGTAACATAATTAAAAATATTCGAACTAATAATCTATTGAGTTCAATCAAAATCTAAAACATTATATAGAGTTTAATTCTTAATTTTGATAATTTGATAATGTAAATACTGTCTAACTTTAAAGTGTAAGCAAATAAGTTTTGTTTAAATAAGTAAAGTAAGTAGAAAAGATAGAAGATAGTGATAAGTAAAATAAGATGATGATGAATATAGTTATAGTAATGTGGTTATAGACTTATAGTGACATATAACTAAATAGATGATAGATGATTCTGTTTTCCATTTCGAAAACAGTTTTTAAGTATGTTCCAGTTTTCCAGAAATTGTTTTCAGTTTTCAAAATGGAAAACTGTGTTAGTAAACATGTTTTCTGTTTTCTATTTTTCAATTTCTGGAAATTTTCAGAAATTTACAGTTAGTAAACGGTCCCATAGAGTTTGACTTTTAATAAGGAAAAGTTTGGGTACACACAACAAAATTCTGAGATTAATTTAGATTCAGTCTAGATCATGCTTGTATGGTTTTACTTACTTGAAAAACGTCCAACTCAAAACTCTATAACTTAATAAATACATACAAATCATGTCATTAAACCTTACACTTAAATTAACAACTTGCTTACCATTTTCATAGAAAAAAACAATTTGATTACCAAATATCTTAGACTGCTGGGTTATATACTTATATGCTTCACCAAATTTCATCCCAATACAGTGGTGGACCTGGCATACATACTCAAGCAATCACCCCACACATGGTGCCCCCATATCTACTTTGTGTTGTTGCCACGGTTGCTTTTCTTACGATTGATAAAATCGACTTTAAATTTATTAAGATATGATATGATGTGATCATCATAATTCATATATATGGGTTAGGTTCCCGTGCGAATAGTGTTTCACGTGCGGTCACACACCATTAGATATGTATAAATGCATCACAAAGTATTTGAAAATGCACCATTAGGTGTGGTGAATTTTTTGGTGTGGGGTATATTTGTGCATTTCATTCTGGTGCATTTTTTATACATACCTAATGGTGCAATCCGCACTGACCGCACGGGAAGCCCTATCTTCATTTGAACCAGTATATATATATATATATATATATATATATATATATATATATATATATATATATATAGAGAGAGAGAGAGAGAGAGAGAGAGAGAGAGAGAGAGAGAGAGAGGGATGACATGCATAAATTGAAAGGTGCATATATTAGGGATGGATATAGTGTGGAGACGGAGGTGGTTAAAGGTTGAAAGAGCAAGAGAGCGTGAAACACGTCTTTGTGTTGGCTTTTGAAAGTTAAGGATATGATTCCTCTAACTTTGGACAGCCATCAACTTAAACTAAAGAATATATATATATATATGTGTGTCTGTGTCTACTAATTAATAATAATAATACTCTACGTACAATGCTACTTTGAAAAGTATAGCAACGGTATGCGCCGTCGTGGCTTTATCAACTTAGAGGTGAAGAAAGGTAGAGAGTGATGGTCACTGACACTTTTGTAGGGGACGGCTTAATTCATGGCTTAGCTTCCACCCAAAGTGTAAAGGAGATGGCACATGTTCAATATTGAGGAAAATATCTTTGAGTTGTCATATTTTGACTTTAAATTAATTCTATTTTTTATCTTTTAATTATTGTATTTTTTTTTTAAATGATAAGTAAATTATTAATGTAACTATAAGGTTGGAGATTGGAATCTTATAAAGAATGTGTCATGTTAAAGAGTTCTGATTGAGTTTTCTCATAAATAAGAATTAAACTCTGTATGTGCGACTTCGCCGACTTGAGCTGAATGCGGAATAATCTTACAATTGTAAGGATTTTAAATGCTTTATATGCAAAATAAAATCATCTAGATTTGGTATTTCAGCTTTGAAAACACCACTTTTAATTTGTTTCAAATATAGTATGTATTTGGTCTCATTTCATGAGTTCGGTTAAACAAGGTTTTACTTATATTATTTATAATTCAAGTTTTTGTAATGTTTAGTTTAGTGTTGGTAAATGAAATTTATATATTTCATTGTATGGTTGGGGTTTGAAGATGTTTGAGATCCCTCCAACTTCTATTTAGAATATATATATTCTTCTAGAGGACTGGATAGAAAGAAACCCCAACTCTTCCTGGCCAAGCTAAGGCGTCTTGTTTACTTATAATATTATTTAAAAAGAAGAAAAAAAAAAAACTCAACTCTACTCAAATAAATCTAGAGAGTATTAACTTTTCAATTCAAATTTATATTACTAAGTGTTAAAATCAAGGGCTTACCACTTATGACAAAAGTTATAGCTAGTAGTGAATGTGTAACTTTATTTCGAAAGTATCTATAAGGTCCCTGTACTATAGTGTTTTGTTCAATTTAGTCCTTCTACTTTAATTTTGTTCATATTAGTCCCTACACTTTAAGAATTGAAACAATTAAGGACAATAGCTGATGTGGACAAATATTTATGTATTTATTTTGGACATATTAATTTAATATATTGGTGGTAAAAATAATTAATTTTAAATATTTATAAAATAATATATGAGTTGGCATGTAAGTATGAGGACGTGACAGAGATAATGTTAGCGCTACATAAGCTATTGTCCTTAATTGTTTCACTTTTAAAGTACAGGGACTAAATTGAACAAAATTAAGGTAGAATGACTAAATTGAACAAAATATTATAGTACAAGGACCTCATAGTTACTTTTACCGTATTGGGTGCTAGACTTGACCTTGTTAAGCCATTACCGTCTTCTGCCCAACAATCCTCCAATCCTCCAATCCTCGGGTGCTAAATTTGGCCATTACCAACCTCCACCCAACAATTCCCCTTTCCCACTCGTGACCTGCCTCTGATAGCAATTGTTATGATCAAGTGGTTACCACTTACACCAAAAGCTATAGCTAATAGCGAAGACGCAACTACATGTTAGGATCAAGCATTTACCAACTATGTCAAAAGTTATAACTAGTAGCGAATGATAACTTTATATTTTCTTATAGACTATCATTACGTTTTCGAGACGTTGGGTGCTGGACTTTGCTCTTTACCGACTTTCATCCAACAATTCCTCCAACCACTGGGTGCTAGACTTGGCCTTTACCGGCCTCCACTCAAAAATTAGTTAGATCCTAAAGCTACAACAAACAAATTAAAACATTCAATTCTAGACAACAA